CGCTTGTCGATAAACGTCGACCTTTGATGCGTCAAGTAGAGAAAGCTGTACACCTTTATCCGTAAAATCACCTTTATTTTTCAAAATATTATAAAAATTAGAAAAAAGCTAGTAACCGGTGATTTTTCGACTACGTGTGATCGGTTGATCTTCAAATGACCTTAGATGACAAAAAAGAGAATTTTGTATAATTCAACGGAATACACACTCCGAGCGTAATAACGTAAAAACGAATTTTCAGAGAAATTTAAATATTTGTTTCTTTGGTTTTTGTGTGGTGTATTTTGGGAGAAACTTTAAATAAGAACCGCAAAACCATTACACGAATTAAAATTTGCGTTCCGTGGATGTCAGGGGCCACGTTGCGAACCAGTTACGTTAAAATTCTATATTTTGACCTGTTTCCAGTATTTTGCGTAATCGTAATTTTCATAGTATATACGGGCTGCAGATGGCGACACTTGCAGGTCGTTTCTCTGATGAAGCTATACACGTTATTACTGTTCATCACTATTTCACATCGTGCATGGGCGCGAATGGACGAAGTCCAAGGTAGAAATATACATAGAAATATTACATTTTAATCTACACGAATCTGTGAGTGCATTGAAAAAAAACATACCTGCCCCTGCCTGACAGCTTTTGCAGATGTGAAGTTTTTTAAAATTATAATATGTAATAATATAGACTTGGTAAGGTTATTAGGTTAGGTTGTATTATAAAATAGCAATGTATGTTAGATTACATTTCCACTGAAATGAATGAAGGTTAATAAAGAAGAGGTTAGAAGTGTACAACATTGTCATTGTACGTTGTTTACTGTTAAAACTGTTAAATTACAATGTTGTAGGGTCAACTGACAATCGTTAAAATGTTCACTTGAGTTATTTATTACAAAAAACTTAATTTGAAATTGTGAAAATGATTCGTGTTCAATGAATCTCATTCTGTATACACATGTTATCATCAGACGCAGTGAAAAACTATTCAGTCCCAGATTATAAAATTCTATCAACTGAGTTTACTCTACACAGACTTATCAGACTATCAGACAAATCATAAACAGACTTCTGAATGAGCTTTTACGTGCCTCAAGAAAATATGCCTCAAGAAACTGAAAGAGGATTAAGACGAGTTTCAACTCTGAGAAATTTATTCTATGCGAAATTTATTTTATGATTAAAAAGTCACCTCAAGGTCACCGATATTTATTACCTTAATGTTAAAATTATGCAAAGAAATGTCGATGACCTTGGATGACCTTCAAGATTTTTTTTATCATTACCAGATGCACATCTCCAAATCATATAAACTCCTTCAGCCACATTCTCTTACTGTCGCTAGCAGGCACGCTGTATATTTCACGTTTCAAGAAACTTCAATTTCACTATTTCTTTCCAACGTTACTAAACAAATCCAAGATTTAATTTTTACTCAAAGTTTAACCTACGAATCTTCCTAATCCAAATAGCGCAAACAATATAAAAAAAAACAATGTAGATTCTCTAACCATATTATACTTATATAAATAACTGTAATAATATGACATAACCAATAAAAAAATTCAATAATATGACCAATATATATATAATTACAATAAAACGACAAACAAACAATTAGAATGACAATATAATAAATAAATAAGTAAACAAACATCAGCGAAGCTATGCGTCACTCTACCCAAAAATATTCCATTGTATACACATCGGAGCT